TTCAGTGAGGGATGAGTTAAGAACTATTTTTAATATTTACTTTGTGCTTTGAAGTTTGTTAAGCGATTGGATTGGTTTTACGGGGTAGGCTTAGTAGTCCTCTCTCTGCCGAACCTCCCGTGTTTACCTGGGCTTAGGACCGGCTAGTAACTAGTGAACTAGTCACCTTGGGGAGGTTGTATTGTTGATAGGGGACAAATATGCATAGATTAGTGTAGATTTATGAAATTGATAGATGCAAAGTAAGTGAATGCATGTGAATATGAATACTTTTAGATCTTGCTATTTAAAATATGATTGCTTAAGGTGTTGAGGTTATCTTCTAAATATACGGATGTAATTTTTTCATAGAAGTGCCATCACTTGGTGTTCATGATTGGCAAAACACATGATGCTCAAGTACTTCCCTGGTGCTAGGGGTTATACAACTTTTCTAACAAGCGAAAAGATCAGTGCAGTCAATTTTCCTGGTTCTTTACCGTAGGTTACGTACTGATTCATAACCGCATTGTAGGGTGGGATATGTTAGCAGTTTGAACAAACAGTACAGCTAGGTGAAAAGAGAGATTGATTACATAAGTTTTATTCGTTTAATTCACACCTTACATATGTAGTATGAATGATTCATTAAATGTTGCAGACATTTTGAAACTATTATTGCCAATAAAATGTAAGTGATGAACTGTTGAACTATTGAAGGGAAGTTTAAAAGTTTTGATTTCTGTGATGTGATTATGAGCAATAAATTCTGCTTGGGACCTAATTTGATAGTACTGTACAACTATGTACTATGTCAAAGAAACAATGTAGCATGGAATAACTACAAGCTATTCGTTATATAAAAAACATTCAGTTGAAGGTAACACAAAGGCTAAGGGCCGTAAAACTATAGCTATGTATTCTATGTCATTTAGGCAAAGCAATCTCGGAGCACCACCTTATGTATGACACATGTAAGACTCATGCTATTTGTTCTTTGGTTTCTGGTCAAGTTATCTAAAAAGTAATCTTGTTTGGTATCCTATTTTTCCCGGTCAAATGGCAGCTCTCCATAAGTGAATCGATCCTTTCTTCGTTTCCTAGCACAGCAGTTTATGTACTTTATCTTTACTTGGAGCCCAGCGCAACAGTTTTGGTCTGGGGAGATTAGACGATGTAGCCTGCTTGTTACACTGGTTGTGGTTCACGAAATACTGCATAAGTTACCAAGTTGCATCAAGTTTTTTAAAGGTTTTTATGCCACTCTTCCTCCTTAAAATAGGATGGCGAAATTTCAGCGAAAGCTGTCCACCCAAGGAAAACATCTTATTGATCTCATAACTCGGTTACTGTCCAGTAACCAATTTATTTTCTCAGTTGTTGAACTAGTACTGTGTAACGGGCATATAAGCAGCATGAAGAAGTGTAAAACTTTTAAATTCTTTTGACATCTGGTAAGAGAAGTACGGAAATTAAGAACGACTGTATACATGTGAACGGCTATTAAAAGTGTAAATAAAAGTCAGTCCGGTCAGTACAAAATTCACGTATACATTATTAGCGTTTATTAGCTAAACATTTGAAGACGTCACAATCACATTCTGATTAATTGCATCACATATGAGGCCATAGATACAAAACTGCTGATTAAATCCGAAACACTTCCGGTCACCCTATTGAGCACCTTAGATAGTAGGGTGTTGTGCTGCTAACACAAAGGTTGCTGGATTAAAACCTACAAGGTTTTGGGATATTTTCAACTCTATTTGCCATCTCATTATTTTAAGACAACTGCATCAGACCAAAGCTATCTCAAGTAGTTTAATCTAGAAATCCATTTATCAGCCGTACATAAAATCAGTTCATGTTTGTAACTACTAAGTCACAAAATAATGTGAGACCTTTATAATATTTGCTTATATAAAATATCCGATTGTATTTGGATAAAACTGATATAATTCACACTTAGGAAGTTGAAGAAAATTGAAGATTTTGTTTTCTAAGTTGTGAAAAAAGCATTTGACAGGCTTTTTTTTAAATCTTCTGAGGTATTAGTCAGTTGATCAATAACAAAGTAGAACCTGTGTGATGATTTGTGTTGCCATACCTCTTTTGAGGTATCAATAATACAACTACTTACAAGTTCGTGCCTGAAGCTGTGAATCCCATTTGCTGATAGTTAACGGTACTGGTAAAACCTTGATGGGTAGGACAGGGTTTGAATCAGTGCCCTATTTGTTGAAAGTTGAGTTCTCATTCGGTTGAACCACTCCACCTTTCAAGCTTTCCTAGTAAGCACTATATCCTAGTACCATCTGACATTGCAAGGTTCTCATGTACAATAAAAATGCGTAGAGGATTACTTTGAGAGGTATTTGTCAATCCACTTACCAGAAGTAGAGAATATTAAATAGTCAAGAAAGCAGCTACTATTGAGTAAATATTTTTAGATATCCAATTGATTAGATTACAGAATGCAATTTAAGTTTTCTTCCATCCAAAATGCCTACAGTTCTTATTGATATCTGCATATATTATGGGCTGTTAGCTAACTAAATTCTGATATAGTTCTTTTTTATATGTATCACACAGTGCAACAATGTCATTTAACCGTGACATTTTGAGCACAATTTGTTGCTCATCATCAGACCAGGGTAATCACGTAAATTTCTGGTCTAGTTTTATTACCCCTTTGTTTTTCTTTCTTTAATTTCGTTGGCAGTAAAGTTTTCCACATATCCAGAATCAGTGTTGTTTCATTTCTGTTACACATGTCAGTTGTTGATCTGATGAACAAAGCTGCAATTATCAATCTCTTTCTCTCTGAATCCACCCAAGTTGTTCATGGAAACTGTCACTCTAGCATTGTTTCCAAATTCTACTACTATATTGCAGTAAACTAAATGTTGTGTAAAATATTTTTCTCCTTTCTTGAACTATTTCTTTGTGCGGTTGTTTGGTTAAGCCACTTGACTGTCTGTGTGAAACTTTCTTTAAAATAACCCACTGCATACTTTGCTGTTACCTGTGAAAATATTTGACGATCGAGTTTTTGATAAACACTGGGTACATGCATGTAAAGTTAATTGAAGACATCTGTTTAAGGCGTCTTATTCCGTCTTAGTGACTGTAAGATGACACTTTGTTGATGGTACACGTTAATCATACTATTTTGCATTCGTCAGTTAACTTTTGAAATAATGAATACACCAACAAGAACGCCAACATACAAATATTTCTCAACAGTTTTAATCATGCAACTCAAGCATACAAGATACCATTGTGTACTGATAAGGTGCTAGTGTGCATAGAAGAATTATATCATTGTTTAGCTTCCATTAACCTATGTGTAATAGCAAGTAAAGCCTATATTTACCACACTTTTCATTGATATATTTGTTTAGAATGAATATTCTACTAGTTTAAGTATAGAATTTAGGCAATTTGGTAGAGTGTAATTTCATATCAAACTAGTCTGTTTGATGCGATACAGTGATAAAGTAATATTTACTAGATGATGTTTCGAGCACTATGTAGTTCCCATGTATATACCAAGCAAGTGAACTCCTGGAGCCTTTTCAAATCCTTTACCTTTAGTGATCACATTTCACATCTATGCAGTAAAACAGAGCAAACTGCAGCGTACTACACTCGGCCTTCAGTAAGCGATTGGATATCATGGTGGTACCATATATGGCATAAATTGGCAAAAGCCAGTCGAGCCTTTTGTAATTTTGCGGAGATATCGTCACTCCCCGACTCACCAGGACTGGTTTTACTTCCCAAGTAAGTGAAGTGGCTCAACCACTTCATCCCCTATTGTTAAACAGTGCGCCAACTTAGACATTATTATTCCTGTAATTGCCGTATGAGTACTTGAACGAGAATTCTCCTCTGAATTATATTAGTCTTGTCAAAGAGTAGTAAAGTTGTACTTATAGCTACTTGTTTCATAGGTAGATATTTGATAGAACATTCATCATCATATAATCAACATTGATTATCCCGGTATTATTCTTTATTGATTAGACTTATATTTCCTGTAATGTAGTGCTGCCATTTAAATACTGAGTACAGTAGAGTAATCTTGAGTTTGTGGTTGTTTATATAAATACTGTATGAAAACAACAACAAAGGCAGCTTCTACCAGCCATAGCTGAAGCATCAAATCTAACGGTATTATTGCTTTTTATGTACATGAATACTTGTGCAATGTTGCTGATTATTCGTTCAAACCAAACTATACCAAAATGGTTACGTTGCATGATTTTAGTGCCAATAAAACTCTGTTACTCTATTTATTTCTGTGTCCCAAGTTATTAACCACCGTATTATGCGACGGCTGATAATAGTACCTATCTGTCTGTAGCTTAACAGCGGACGGTAGGGATTTAACCTTTAATATAGTAGTTAAAAGACTAACGAGTTTGAATCTCTCCAGGAATATCAATTCCTCCTAAGCTGCAGGTATGCGTTGCTATCGAGTGACAACCAGCTCAAAAACCAAGTCTACAGCTTCCTGCTGAGTTACCCCAACCACCTAACATCAATCAAGGTGCACCGTGATACTGAGTTTCCTACCTTGATGACCAACTTACAAAATAATCGTTAGCTTTCGATCAACACTCTGGATTAGAGAACATAAAATCGGTTGCTCTCCAGTGACCAATCAACGTGGCAAATAGTAGCCTCGCTGACCAAGTGTTCAGCTCTTCGTCCATAACTACGAAACTTGAGCACTTTCGCAACTTATAAATGATTGGATATTTTAAACCCATAAAGTTTAATATTGTCATTCCATGGATTCTGTAACAAGTCATTTACTACATTGAAAAGGAATGCTGGATCCATTTGAAGTGTCTAATTTCGAAAACTGGTTGGAGAAACTATCTCAACCAAATACTTGGGTGTTCTTCTTTGTTTCACGAAATGAAATCAGCCCTCTAATATCGAGGTTGAAATATTATCTAAAAATGTTGATTTCAACTCACCCTAGACTTTCTTCTTTCTGCTTTCAATAGAAATCTTTTCGTATACCAGCTGAATCGAATAGTCAAAATAAAAAAATGCCCAGTATAACCACAACAAACACTGTTGGTTCGTCAGGAATTCGTTTGATGCGAAAAACCTCATGTGCTGCTGGTGCTACTGGTGGTGGTGCAAATGATCAGTCAACTAATCTTTCATCTCAGCACAACTCCGACAGAAAATCATTAAGAGATCAACCGAATGTTGGCAAGTATAAACTGATTCGAACACTTGGTCGAGGCAATTTTGCAAAAGTCAAACTAGCCCAACATGTTTCAACTGGACGAGAGGTGAGAAAAAATTGTTTCACAGTTATTTTTTCATTTATTTAACTTTTATTTCTAAAATAATGACAACAGACTATGAATTTATGCACTGGCGTTTATATATTTCTGTAGGCGTGTTACCAATTTTCTAAGTTAATGCAACTCCTAAAGCAAGTAGATTTTGTAGACACATCACTACAGTGTTTTTGGAGATCTTGTGTCTGTTTAAGCTCATCAGTCGATGAAGGTGTTAACCTTCATTGCTCCTGGCAATTCACTGCCTACCACAACGCTTGGTGTTAGGGAAAGTAGGATTAAGTGAGAAGAAGACTAAGAGTGATCGGACGAAGGTGTATTACTAGTCCATTGAAGTATTTATTTTTAACTGTTGACTTGAGTTAGAAGACGAGTTTAGGTTGCTTGTCTGAGATTCTTGAAACGATGAGGACGAAAGATTGGGAATATTGGTGATATGGCTTGAATTCGATCACATTGTCTTTGGTGTTTTGAATATTTTCACTCGCCGTCTATTTATTCTTTCTTCTCTCTCTTACACTTTGGTCTGCTTTTATGTCATTCTTTTTCTACCCAATTCCTCATATACTGGCGTGAAGTGGTGGAACTAGAACTGACCCACACTTCTGTACCAGATTCTTTATTGATTTATTGTTTATCTCTAGATATCCTCACTATGTCTATTAATGTATCGAATTCTGCATAAGTGTTTGTCATCCTCCGTGGCAGACAGTAAAGTAATTAAGTGGGGAAGCTAAACAATGGGAGAAAAATAAAAGATTCCAGATTTATGTAGTGTTAATATTTTGGGTTTTTTAAATTTCTGTCGTAATTTTATTGTTCATATAGCACATAACGTACGATTGCTTCTCATGACCGTGTTGGCGAAAAACATTAGTCTTTCGATGCATGTATTCACTACTGTCCAGTTTTTACCATTAACTAGTACTGTATAGGTTTTTCATGTGAATTTATAGGTAGTTTACCTAATATAACGATATGGATCATACATTTATGGAAGGTTTGAGGAATATTAAATGTATTTATCTTATCTTAACTTGAAGTTCAGCAGTTGAAACTTCTACATCTTGTTTGCAGTTATAATAACGAATTTTAACATTGAACATTCACTGAGTGCTCTATTGACTGATTGATTGGTCCTTCTCTTATAACTGAATTTCTAATCACAAGTTAATAACCAGGTTCATGTTCATTCAGTTGACCTTCATCCATAGCTATTACTATCTGGTTCCTGAAACCTGTATATATGCTGAGTACCATTCAAAATGGTGACGTAGTGATGAATGGACACCGACTGACTATTTCTATTATTATTATAATTTTTCCATTGGGTTCCTGGTGGAACATAGGGCTTCAGCAGCACTCCTCCATTGCACTCTGTCCTCTGCAGTCTTTTCAACCTGACGCCACGACTGCCCACAAGCTTTCATTTTTTCCTCACATGACCTCCTCCATGTCACCCTTGGATGCCTAACTCATCGTTTCCCATTTGGGTTCCACTTGAGGGCCTGGTGCGTGATGTCCCCAATTGGTCTTCTCATTGTATGCCCAATCCAATCCATCTCCACTTTCTTCTTTTGCATGTTTGTTGGGTGATGAGTTGTTGGTTTGTTCTTTGCCAGTCAGCCAGCCAGCCAGCCAGAATTCCTTGTTGCTTATTCTTTCTGACCATCTGATCTTCAGTATCGAGCGAATGTAGCTGGCAGCTGTTGATGATGAATGTCTGTAGTTTGTAGGAAGTGTTTTTCGTGATGCGCCAAGTTTCTGAACCACATAGAAACACTGACTTGGTATTGAAAATCCTGATGTTGTTCAGGCTTTATGCTGAGTGCAGTAGATCTCCGGCTATTTCTGTGCAATGTGGTTATGGCTGATTTACAAAAACAAGGTATCGGAGATGTGGTTCAACCATTGGTCTATAAGTTCGAACAGATACTTGTCGACTTACAGAGGTTTAAACAGCCAGGTGGTAGTATCATTACCTCTTACACCGTAGGTGCGGTTGATTGCCTACTGTATGAATACGCACACAGAGTTAGTGAGTGCATTTCGACTTCGACAAATAGGGTAAATGATATGAGTAAAGGAGGTGAACCATGATGAGAGGTAAGTGAGACTAGAATTACTGCACCATTCTTGTTTATGTAGAGGTGAACAGTGAGATTTTTACTTGTACACATCACTACCACCTGTTCGGAGTTATTTAATCTAGAGTCACTAACTGCCAACCTTTGTCATCTCAAAGTTACCTGTAATAAAGTTCGAAGCTTACAGCTTGATTCGGGGTTTAAAGAAAAGATAAGTGAGATGTCGTCTGTGTAGCATACTTAACAGCTTACTTGCCTAATGTAAGGAAATTCAGATTCAGATTTGTTGTTTGAGGATAGGAGGCTGGGAGCTGATACTAATCCTTTTCCAGTAGATTTCTGTGCCTGTCCAATCCCCTTTTAAACGAGTCAATTGATGATGCGGACACTACTTCTTCTGGAAGTCGGTTCCAGGCGCTGATTACTCGACGCGAGAACCAGTACTCTGCGGAGACTGTTTGTTTTTTGCTTTTGTAGTCTCCTACTGTGTTCTCTGAGGTATTCCGACCTGGTGGGAAGGAAAAGAGAAGATAGGTCAGGTCCAAAGTCATTTCTTAGAATCCTGTATAGCATGATTATGTCGTCCCTCTGTCTGCAGTATGACAGAGTGAAGAGGTTCAGCTCCTTAATCTGAAATGTGTGACTGTTTCTTCTCGAGATAACAATCAAAAGTGACTCAAGTTCCGTATAACTCAAATTTTTTACATTATCGAGCTTCACATGCAAACATATAGATTTACATTGTGAGTTTTCTTCTAATTTCATTCTGTTAATTTAAAACTTTGATCAAATTCATCACTAAATGTTCCCCCCCCCCCTCCCAAGTGATAAATGTATCCAACTTCTCAATTCTTCTCCTTTATTTTTCTTCTTTGCTTTTTACATGATACAGGTTGCTGTGAAGGTGATTGATAAAACTCAATTAAACCAGGCTAGTTTGAAAAAAGTGAGTCAATTGTTCTCTGAACAAACTATTTTTGTTATCCTCTTATCATTAGTAAACTGTCTGACTGATTAGACAAACGAAAAATTAATCGTTCAGTTGATGTTGGTTCATTCTAATGGTCCTCTATTGTCTAATTTATCCTTAAATTACAATCTTTTCATATTTTGCTACTGTTATAACTATTATTAATAATGAATTTTCGTTGTACACGCTGGTTGTCGTCATGTTCATATGCTGCACACGTTTTTCCAAAAAAAAGGGACATAATAAATGAGCAAATGAAAAGGCATTTAGCATTCTATTCACTGTAGAACAAGAAATCAGCTGTCGATCAGAAATCAATATTAGTTAAGTTAGTTGACACGTGTCTCTGTATGTGTGCATTCTGGAAATCAATAGTAACATTAATTTCTTCGTCTTCTTAGTATTATTATTACTATGCAGACATCAATGTATAAGAGAAAATATATTTATATATTTTGTTCTTTATTCGGTTTATTTGAAAGTAGCTTATTTGTCCGACTAACCTGTAAGATGATTAAGAATTATGTTGACCTCATCTCACAAAGAAGCTTTATTATCGCTATTATTATTATTATTATTATTATTATTATTATTATTATTATTATGAGTTGAACAGCTTCCATACTGCACACTTTACCTGGTAAAGCGATTCTTAAGATAATAACCTGTATAGATTTTAGGGTCTTGGATTCTTTATGATCGATGGTGACTAGCAGTGAAAACCTGGACACGGGTTTCGTCCTGTTTAGGACTCATCAGCCGAATGTACCTGCCTCCCAGTAAGTGATATTGTTCCCATTGAGACTCCAACTCGGAGACGATCAGGTGAACCTAATACTGTACAGTCTCACTATAGAAAAGGATACTTATGCATCAGTATTATTGTTCTCTATTGTAGTATGTGTGTGTATGCGTGTATATGACTATTTTCATCTTTTGAACCTGGAAGAAGCGTTCACCTTTTACGTCATTATAGATATATAACTGGGTTGAATTCTTACAGTATATATATTCAGTTATGAAACAAAGCTGCATATTAATGATGGATAGTAGCTAGCAGTGGGATCCAGGGCGCGCGTTTCTTCAACTCTGGGACTTGTCAACTGGGTGTACCTGCCTTTCAGTGGACGACATTGTTCCCACTAAAACTCGAACCTGGAACCGAATGATTCAAACACCAGTGCATTATCCACTAAGTCACAATAGCCACTTGTTGGGCGACGGTAGTACATGTAACAATATAGAAAGCTGCATATTTATTACTCATTTATAACTAACCATTCAGTATCAGAAAATGTACACCATATGTTGAGTACAAACATATACACAAAGTTGTGTAGTGCTGTGGTGTTTTCACACCATTTGTAAGCTATCAATCCGCAACACTATGTTGAAATAAAGCTGAAAGCTAATACACTCATTTTGATTTGATATGAAAAAAATAACTTTGTGTTTAGCGTAAAGATGAATGAAATTGTGAAACATGATATGTTGCTAATTTCTTTCCTTTTCTCACAATAATAAGACAAATACTAATAACTTCCAGGTAAACACATATGAATCGACAGAAGTAGAAAGTAATGCCCCGTTGAATTCCAACCCGATGATTGAATGGTAACGCTCATACCATGACACCTAACTGTTCTGGACTCGGTCCCTCATGAAGTCGTGTGTACACATTATTAAGCTGTCCCACACTAGGACGAAGTAGCTGTTCAGTGCTCCCAGGTTTTCGATGGCGTTTTAAAACTGGTATCAGTCCATGATGAATGCTTTCAAAACACATGTTTATTGAATTGGCACGGCTTACAATCATTTGTCAACTGTTTCAGTACCATTTTCATGCATTCCATTCCTCAATTATCTGAGTAGTTGGATCAGCTTTAGGAAATCAGTGGCCGATAAAAGCTTCACTGGGTTACAGAAGGCTCTCATTGCTTTCACCAACTTATACCGTTTATAGCACCACCGGGTTATCTAATCGTACTGCTCTGAAGTTCTCTCTGTGTTGCCAATATATCTGTGAACCATAGCCATCAAAAGCAGAGGACATGAGAAGGCTTTAGATGTTTGACTGCCATTGCTTTCGTAACCTAGATTGTGTGTAATGGTACCAGCACTTCAGTAACGTTGAAATCAGACGAAGAGTTTTGCTCAGAAGAGGGAGTTGTATAACCGAAGTAGATTTATTCTGGAAAACGGTTAAAAGTGGTTCGAATAAAACATGCCATCAATGCGTGAATTCTTTGACTATTGGTCTGAGCCGTGTAGAGAAATGTTAACTTCTGGGTTTGAGGTCCACATGAAAACCGAAACTAATGGTTAGACACTGGAAAATATGGCTCTTAATCGATTTAAGTGACGCAGAAACATCCATACATTGTCTTCGTCTTGGTTGTCAGGCCGAATTTAATTATTTTCTCATTTCTCATCGTTTTCTTATCATAATTTTCCACCACTTTGACTACTTTCTTCTTTACATCTCTTTCATCTTGACACATTCTCATTGGATCTGCCTTACGTGAGGTGTGACTGCTTCGACGGCTGTGCAGTAATGCTAAGTTTCCTGTTGATATCTATCTATCTATTCCACACTTAGTGTATCGTTTGTTTGACATTTTGAGTGAGAGGAATCATAAGTTGTCTTTCCCGTCATATATATATATGTCATTATTATTATTCCCTTGGGTTCCTGGTGGAACATAGAGCTTCAGTAGCACTCCTCCATTGCACTCTGTCCTCTGCAGTCTTTTCAACCTGACACCACGACTGCCCACAAGCTTTCATTTCTTCCACACATGACCTCCTCCATGTCACCCTCGGATGCCTAACTCATCGTTTCCCATTTGGGTTCCACTTGAGGGCCTGGTGCGTGATGTCCCCAATTGGTCTTCTCATTGTATGCCCAATCCAATCCATCTCCACTTTCTTCTTTTGCATGTTTGTTGGGTGATGAGTTGTTGGTTTGTTCTTTGCCAGTCAGCCAGCCAGCCAGCCAGCCAGCCAGCCAGCCAGCCAGCCAGCCAGCCAGCCAGCCAGCCAGCCAGCCAGCCAGCCAGCCAGCCAGCCAGCCAGCCAGCCAGCCAGCCAGCCAGCCAGCCAGCCAGCCAGCCAGCCAGCCAGCCAGCCATCCAACCAGCCAGAGTTCCTTGTTGCTTATTCTTTCTGACCATCTGATCTTCAGTATCGAGCGAATGTAGCTGGCAGCTGTTGATGATGAATGTCTGTAGTTTGTAGGAAGTGTTTTTCGTGATGCGCCAAGTTTCTGAACCACATAGAAGCACTGACTTGGTATTGAAAATCCTGATGTTGTTCAGGCTTTATGCTGAGTCGAGTGTATCTCCACACTGATTTCAGATTAATGAAAGCCTGTTTTTTCCTTTTCCCATCCTAGCTTTGACGTCCTTGTCTTTGCCCCCATGGACGCTTGTAGTTGAAAGGATGCTACGTTGCCTAGGTAGGTGAAAGAAGCTACTTCCTTTAGGTTTCTGCCATTGATGGTGTTTGGTGCTTGTTGTTGGTTGGGTATCTTCATCATCGCTGTCTTCTCTCCATTCACTTGAAGTCCCGTCTTCGCTGCCTCTTCTGCCGACTTGTTGGATTTCGCCTGTAGATCTTCGAGTTTGTGCAACAAGACACTAGACATGAGTCATCATCGGTGAAATCCAAATCTTCTTTTGGGGTCTTTTCATCGGTGCAGCCAACGTATTCACCTCTTCTCGTTCCTCACGGTTTGCTGCATGATCCAGTCGACCACAATCAGGAAAATCATCTGTGATAGTAGGTGGCAGCCTTGTCTTACTCCTTGCTGTCTTCACTTCAGAGGCGTCACTGAGCTTTCCATTGTGACTCATTCGGGATGTGGCGTCTTCATATAGCTGCTGTTGAGTGAGGTTGACAAAGGTTTGTGGCACTAAAGCCGTGGTGTTGAAGCATCTGTTTGCCAAATTACTTCCCGATCGACGCTGTCGAAGTACTTTTCCAAATCGATGAAGTTGAGATTGAGGTTGAGTTGACTGACATTCTGTATTCTGTTCTATGGTGATGCGTAGTGTAGCGTTACAATTTGGTCGGCATATGATTTGCTCTTCCTGAAACCAGTCAGCCAGCGAGCCAGCCTGTTCCGGTGGTAATTTTTGATTGCAGTGCATCTTTTAGTGTCTCCAGGATGATGTGGTGTAATATTTTGTTTGGTTTGAGTGGACAGGAGTATGATTTCTTGCCAGTTCTTGCAAAGGCTGAGGTCTTCCTTGTTTGGGAGTTTGGCAAGTTAGGCCTTCTTCCAATCGATAGGCAGGTACCTTTCGTTCCTTCTTTGCTAACCTTCTGCAAGCGTGGTCCTGCTGCTTTCCCGGGTTTCAGCAACTTTATGGGGTTCAGGACTTCGATTTTCGTCGAAAGGTTTGTGTTGAGTGATAGTTGTGTGTCTGGGCTGCTGTTGGTATTTCTGGATGAGTTGCATATGATGATGGTGGTGGATTGAAGAGTTTTTTGAAGTGGTTAGTCCATTGTTCCCTTTGTTTCTCCTGTTTGGTAACTAAGTTTCCTTCACTATCTTTCATTAGTTTCATGTGTGTTGATCTCTTCCCTCCCAGATAGAGTAACCGTGTTATTTGATATAATGTTGTCAGGTCTTTCCTACCTGCAGGTTGTTCTGCTTGATTTTCCGATGTGTCGTGGAAGTTGTCATTTGTCTATCGGCGCACTCTTATTCACTTCTTTGTCCAGTGTAGTGTTTTGTAGGTTGTGTTCAGTTCCTCTTTTTGTTGTTCATGCGTGCACTGCACTGTACTGCACTGCACTGCACTGGTTCATCTTCTGTTTCACCATCCTCCTGTCCCTCCTGTATCAGCTGTGTCTGTCGAGATCCATTCCTTGTCTTCTTTCTTCTTCCTTCCTAATACGGCTATGCGTTGCATGATTGTGACTTTCCTTCCTTTGGAGTTGAATCTTGTTGTCATGATCCTGATCGTGGA